AACGAGACTAAGCGTTCAGTGAAAATTCTCCACGCTCTGCTGCATATGATGGCCCTTATCATCAGTATTGTGGGTAAGTTCAGCATGTGTTTGCTAACAGGTTAGAAGAAAAACACTGCTCGGCAGTAAATGACGTTTGGCTGCACTGTTGTTTTGTTGGGTATTTGTTCAGCGACACAGATTTTAGCTGTAATTCACAACTGCTGCGGTCACAATCATTTCCCATGTATGAACCGTTAAATAAGGGGAAAACTAAAATTTCCCTCACATAAACACGTTCACAAGGCATAGGATAACTAGATTTGCATTTTCAGAAGTCAACACCAATACTTACAATACAGCTGCATTCAGCAGTTTGGGGTCAGCAAGATTTTATTTATTTTTTTTTAAGTAAAATAAATAAATACTATTTTTCTATTCATTAAAGAACCCTATTAGGCCACACAACTGTTTTCAACATTGATAATAATAAGAAATGTATATTGAGCAGCAAATCATCATATTAGAATGATTTCTGAAGGATCATGTGACACTGAAGACTGGAGTAATGATGCTGAAAATTCAGCTTTGCCGTCATAGGAATAAATTACATTTTAAAATATATTAAAATCTAAAACAGCTATTTTAAATTATAATAATATATTTAAATAGATATCTATGTATACTGTATAATATCTCTTTCTTTCTCCTTAGGTCTGGTGGCCGTATTTGACTTCCATTCATCAGCTAAGATCTCTCATATGTATTCTCTGCACAGCTGGTGTGGCATGCTCACTTTTGTGCTGTTTTTCATACAGGTAATATGCAGTCATTTCATTTTGACCAGCATTGGCATTAAACATTTTCCTTCTTCCTTATTTGAACAAATGAGTGTATGTGGTTTGGAAACTCTGCATTAGCAAACCCCCTTGTGGTCACATCCATTACACTGCTAACATCACTTAACATCAGCACATTGCCATTAGTGTTTGCATTCGTTTTTATTGACAATGGAAAACCAGCCTTGAAACCTGCTAGTCCACTTCATACTCTACATACAGCTAAAAATAGGATTATTTTATTATATTTAAATATAAAATTGTTATAATAATTTTAAAAAATACTAAAAAGTTTTTTCTTTATATATAGTTTTCTTTAACATTATTATTATTTTTTTTTTAAAGGTGACATATCATGAAAATCGAACTTTTCCAGTTTTTAAGTGCTATAATCAGGTGCCCGGTGCATCTACCAACCAAGGAAACGTGAAAAAGATTAACCCAGTAACTTCGTTTTGGGAAACCTTTTTCTGCAAGCCTCTGAAAAAACAAGCTGGTCTGATTTTGCTCCCTTGGTGACGTTGCAAAGGGATCTCATTATAATATTACCGCCCCTTAATCTGTAAGTTTACACCCACG